TGTGTTCTTGGCACTTGCTAATGGGCAGGAGGTTAGATCCCAATTGGGCTCTTCGTCGGGCCAACATAATTCTCCCACTTGGATTCTTATCAACGGAAAAGGCCCTTTCGGCAATCCACTTACAGTAGCCCATGAATCGTTCACCGCCTCCCCAGGTGAGACCAATCAGAAGTCTTTGCAAATATTTTTTTTTCAGTCAATGTAACAAATCATATTATTAGTAGAAAATTTTGTTTTCTATCGATACCAAAACTTTCTCTGTGGATGTGCAGATTCTCAACCAATTTTGTAAATTTGTTGTAAAAAATTTTGCCATCTCCCCTTCCCTGAAGTAATAGTTACTTATTCAATACAAAGACTTCCAATTTCAAGTTTTTTGACATGGAAGTAACATTTTTGGTCATTTGAAAATTCTTTTATGCATATATCTCACTTTTAAACTTTATTTTTCACTTGATTTTTTTCCCCTAGGAAAAACATATCGATTTAGGATTTCGAATGTTGGCACAACATTCAGCTTGAATTTCAGAATCCAGAATCATAAGCTGCTATTAGTAGAAACTGAAGGCTCCTACACCGACCAAATTCTGCTGGACTCTCTTGATGTGCATGTGGGCCAGTCTTACTCTGTTCTCGTCACGATGGACCAAAATGTTGCGGATTACTACATAGTGGCCAGCCCCAAATTGGTAGATGAGACTAATCAGGCCTCGCTCGTGGCTGTTGCAGTTCTGCATTATAACGGCTCCAATACACCTCCAAATGGGCCCCTTCCTATAGGTCTTGATCCCTTTGACATTCTGTCGTCCATGCACCAAGCAAAACAGATCAGGTAAAATTTTAGTATATTTTCTAAGATAAACCCAAATTTGCCAAAGACTCCGTATAAAAAGTAAATTTTATATACACTATTAATGTGTATACTATCATGATTGGATGGATGATGCATAAGTAAATTTTAAAATTTAAATTTAAATTTTTTACACATATATCATATATCTAATAGTGATAGTGTATACACTGACAATGTATATAAAATTAATTCTATCTATATTATGCTTTCAGCTTCCTTTAATCTCTCTATTTAATGGACTTGACAGCTAACAAGTATGCGTAACGCATTGGATATATATATATATATATATATATATATATATATATATATCCAATGTGTTAAATAGAATATATATTTATATTGGAAAATAAGTAGAAATTTCCGTTATAGCGGGGTAAAGAATATTGTGTTATCGCAAATATATAAATATTTTGGACAGACTAAATTATATGATTGCAATATTATACGACATTTTGACAAAAAAAAAAATAGAGTATTTTATTTCTGCTGCTTTTGAGTTATAGCAAGATTCAACTAAATATCATATAAAAAGTATCGTACTTACACAATCAATTCATGGATATAGGTGGAATTTGACAGCAGGAGCTGCAAGGCCTAATAGTCAAGGCTCATTCAACATATCTAAAGCCACAATATCCCAAAACTTCAATCTTCATGGAGGACTAGCTGCGGAGTTTAATGGCATTCTTGGCTACACAGTAAATAATGTGTCATATCTCACTCCAGACACTCCTCTGAAACTAGCTGATTATGCTCTAAATGGTTCTGGTGTTTATTCTCTTGATAAATATCCTGCCAACTACACCTTTCCCCTCACTGTTAAGGGAACATTTGTGGTTAGTGGGATTCACAAAGCATATGCTGAAATTGTATTTGTCAATAATCATGAAGCAATAGACTCTTGGCACCTGGATGGATTTGGATTCTGGGCTGTTGGGTAAGATTTAGTAATTTATTATCTGATTCATTCGTCATGATTATATAGCTACAAAGCATGATTAGTTTACTTAAATTACATTGTTGAAAGGCCTCTTGTCCCAATCTCTAGGTATGGAAATGGAAGCTGGACTCCACAATCGCGTACTGAATATAACATTATCAATCCAGTAGTTCGTTCTACAGTTCAGGTGAGTTTTTCTTCGCAAAAAACACAAACCCCAAAAACATTATTACACATCTCATAAAATATTATGGTGATTATGAGCAGGTATACCCTAAAGGATGGACAGCAGTTTATGCGTATTTAGATAATCCAGGGATGTGGAACTTGAGGTCGCAGATTTTGGAATATTGGTATTTAGGACAAGAGCTCTATATTAGAGTATATGACCCCGATCCCAATCCGGCAAAAGAACGGCCTCCCCCAGAAAATCTACTCTATTGTGGTACAGTTTTCTTGAACCTTGCTACTTTTTCATCTATGGTGGTTTCCTTGTCTCGCATAGCCAGTTGCTGCATAATGATTTCCTTTGGTGGAATTTGAGCAGGGAAAGTGCATACACTTCCATCTGTATTTTCTGTACCAGCTCCTCCACCCCTATCTTTCCAATTGACACCACCAGCTCCAGAAAGGGATAGTGCAGCAACACCAAATCCACAGAAATCCGGCACAACAACTTTGCATATTCATCGGTAAAATTTTCGATATGGGCAATTTTACTATCCTAATACTTAAAATGAAATGCCGAAATTTAACTTCATGAAAAATTGTAGATTAGCATTTTGATTTGATTATACTGATGTTCCTCACCTTGTCAGGTTTCTGTTGCTTGTTGGCCTTCTCATGGCTTTGTGAATGGAAGTTTCAGTAGCCCGTACATAGCAACACCAAACGATTTTACTATTGAAGATTTATTACTGAGGGGTCAAAAGATTTACTGCTGAATTGATATTGACATTTATGTCCCGATGAAGATTTACTACTTAGTGTCTAAAAGATTTACTGCTGAATTGACGTTTATGTGTTGATGAACATTGATGTTCTATTGGCTAATTTTGATATGAGCTTTGAAATTAGTGTTGATGTTACAATATATATTTTTTTTATGGTTTTGCAAATTTTTCAATCAAATTTTAATGCCAATGTCGATAATTATTCCTCTATGAAGATGTAAATATTGAAAATGTAAGATGTTGATACAAATATATTTATTAGAATGGATGTTTTTTGTCAAAACATTTGTGATGCAAAGAAGTGAAAAATATCTGACTACAATCTTTTAACATTAGAATTGGTAATAGCATATTGCTGATTTCTTGTACTTGTTGTGCTAATCATCATAGACTACATTAAACATTCTGAAGTCTAAAATCCTTCTCTTTTTTTTTTTTGTGGCTAAATTGACAATTCAAAAATTCATGTTTAAATAAACAGGTTAGCAAGGGACCGAACTTTGTGCAAGAAAGATGAGGGCCATTTCTAGATTCACAGGTGGTTTTTGTTTCATTGAAAACTAGACCAATTTGACAGTCTTTGGGTGGGTGAGTGGAGAAATTTTTTTGACCAATTGAAAATCCTTGATGAATATAGAAAATTTTTCGCACACAATCTGAGTGAGTTTAGAAGTATGCCACGTAAGTAGAATTTAAAAGCGAGTTTAAATGCATGTCACACGAGATGCTAGTGTAAAAGAAAAAAGTTATATACTTGAATGTTAATTAAATATCATAATTACGTAATGAATTTTTTTTTTTGGTCTATTCTATGCCCTATTCGTGAATATAGATTACATATAATACCTACGTAAAGGGAGAAATTTTAGTGACCTCTAATCCTAATTGCAGAAAGTGAAACACTAGCCCCATCCCTTATCCTGTATCTACAAAATCAAAGAATACAAGAAAAAAAAAATATAGATTACGTAAAAGAAGCTCCTATACGAACACTTGCTAGTCTAAAGAATTCCTACGATGAAAGATTAATCATAATTAACGACCAGAAAGTTAGAACCCTCCTGCCCCATACTCACCTACACTCCCAACTACAAATAGGAAATGGTTAAATAATCACAAAAAAAAAAAGGAGTCATGAATGAGTACCAATTTTTCCTCTTGACATTTCGGAATTACATAACATTTGTCAACTTCAGCCGTGCGAAGGAAAAAAAAGGCAAAAAAAAAAAAAGAACTATATACGTTTCATGTTGCATGTTGGATTTCTGAAATTAGTCTATTAGCTATTAAATAGATCAACAGCAAAGAAAACAGAAAAACAGCCACAAACCACGAACAGACATAACCTCGCAGTACAGCTCATTGTCTCAACACATGCCATAATGAAGTCCCGATGCTTAACGTAATTAAGACTCTTTCATGTTGCTTAAAGATTGATTTGAACGCCTAATTGAACCTAGCTAGCAACATGGTCTTGTAAGCATTGTCCAGTTGGAGGTGATCCAATGCTGTCCATGTCTCTTTATTATGTCAAGTGCCAAAAACAAAAACTGCATTTCTATGCCTCTCCAAACTTTCCTGTACATAAATTTGGTCCTAAAGCTAACTAATTAGCTTAAACAATTTACTGATTATTCACCAGTTACATGTTCATTTTACAACGTGTTTCATAAAAAATCCAAGTGCAATGTCTCGATTGTAAATCTGCCTTGAGCAAATGGTGGTGAAAGCCCTGAGCAAATTATTATAGTAGAATAGAACTTCAGGAATTGAAAGAATTGGTGACCATGCCACCAAAAAAAAAAAAAAAGGAGACAAATATTGGGCAAGGGAAGTAAGTTGCAGGACTGCATTAGCTAAAACATTGTCATCAATGATAAGCCAGAACAGATTAATCTTGTTGTTGACACAATTTAAACATAAAGGAGGTGATGGTGCCATGGTGGTGACACCCTCCATGTCAATGTCTCTTCTCTGTTCCTTACTCCCCTTCTAACCTCTCTGTCTCAACTCAACTCTTAAGGGCTACAAAATTTGTTAAGTATTTTTTTCTTTTTTACCTAAAAGGGCTAAAATCAGTTAGTACTTTTGAGCAGAAATACCTCATTTGCTATGTATAGTAGGTACCTCAAGAAATTCCCAAATGGAAGGCATAGAAATTCGACAACGATTGCAGTCATGTAGTAATTATAAATTATTGACAGTCAGAGCACCACGAGTGTCACCAATGAAAAAATTCAAAGAATTTCATTATCAATTTGTGCATTATTAGGATGTAAACACTATTTAAAGAATTGATTGTTTGACAGTCTTAGGAGAGGGTAAGGAATGAAAGAATGAGTGTCGTCGATTCACATCTTGCCCTTCTAAAGTATTTCGAGAAGATGGATGTAGTAAAAAAAAATATACTGTATCAGTTGCACCTTATCAGTAGTGGCAACGGACTAATTTGGGGGTGGAGGATAAAACAAGGGCCGGTTTTGCTTCTGCTTCTTTTTCTTCTTCTTCTTTTTGGTTCTGCTGTTGGTGTTGGTATGGAATTTGTTGATGCTTTGATGCCAAACTAAACTTATTGGGGTCTTTATTATGATGATCATCTTCTGGAGCTGGAAGGTTGAGATCCAAAGACAAACCGTTGCTTGTCCTCTTATTAGCTTCAGCTTCATCAGAGTCTTGATCCGTGGTCTCCGGACTTAATTGGCCTAGAGACAAGGTTGTGCTGGTCATAGCAGGTGCCCCGCGGTGGCGCCTCATGTGCCCTCCTAAGGCCTGTCCAGACGGAAACTCAGCGCCACAATGGGAACACTCATGGATCTTAGGAAAAGAAGCAGACTTGTACAAATTGCTATTGCTGGACGTTCCCCTGTTGTTATTGTTAATGAGTTCAAGAGAGAGTGGAGAAGAATTGTTGTAATTGGATTTATTCTTGCCGTTCTTGAATATTATTGTCTCCTCTTCATCATCAGACATGTCAAAAAATAATTTCTTTTCTTCGGCTGCCGCCATGTTCTTAGGCTTCTTGTGGCTTGCCCTGTGACCTCCAAGTGCCTGGAATGAAGGAAAGGTGCGGCCACAAGTCTTGCACTCGTAAACGTACATCCCAGCCTTGCCATTACCGGAGATAGGTGCCTCAATGTATCTCTTGCTGTTAAATTTCTCGGTTCCAAATTCCTGAGCTTGATCAAACTTGTTTATCGCTGGTGGTTCTTTAATGACATCGCCGCCCTGGGCTAAAAGGATAAGGCATTTGGCGGTGTACTCGTCTTCCTCGTTGCTAGCATGATCATCGGGGCGGGCTTCTTCAGCTGATGAAGAGCTGGAATTGTTGTGATTGTTATTGGTATTGGTATTGTTGTTGACATTGTTGATGCAATTATCTCCATTGCTAACATATCCTCCCTCTCCGCTTGATGAATATTGTGTAGTGATGGTGAAGGGAATTGGAGATTGAGGCCTTTGGCGCTTGGTCCTTTTACCCTTTACGATGTGGGGAAGGTCTTGAGGACCTGCCACCTCCTCCACGGCCTCCACCATCACACGACCACCACGGCCACCGCCTCCTCCGCTGCCTCTGCCACCACCAAAACACCAAAGATACTTAGGGAGAGGGAGTCGAGGGAATGGAACGTGGGAGGGACAAAAATTTTAGAAACAGGCGGTTGAACGAAGCTTGACAAAAGAGTAGTGGTTGCATATTTATAACTAGCCAAGAAGAGAGGTTCTGGAGAGTTGGAGGAGTCAAAAAGACACCACATTAGGAGGAGGAGGAGATGGGATAGTAACTCCGGACTGGTGCCCCAAATATTTGCAAGAAAAGGTTATGTATGTGACAAACGAATGAAAAGGCCTATTTTTAGAAAGTGCACATCAAAAAATAGTGAGCACGAGAGTAAAGTGGAATAGACTGGAAAGAGGGAACGCACAAATCAGACGAGATGAGAACCCACAGGTGACTTTTGTAAAGTTGTAACTGACAAATAAGGACTGTTAATGCTGAACTGCTGCTAACACAGCTAGAGTAAATACACTTGGGAGGTTGGGTTGGGGACCTTGTGGTTGTAATTACCAAGTCCGTTTCAATTTTCAAACACACTTTCCTCACATTTGCCAACTAGCTTTATTTGTTTAAGCTTGGTATGGTTAGTTACATTTTTTTTAAGTAACCCTTTTGTATCAAAGTGCTTTGATAGAAAACTGAAGTTTTGTTTGAGTGAATGGAAGAATAGTTCTTTTCTTACTCTTCTCTTCTCTTCTCTTGAGCTCTTTAATTTTCCTGTTTTTTTAACATATTACCCATCACATGAAACGTAAAATCTATATCATATTAGCATTAGTTTTAACACGTTGTCCAAAAAGGTATGCAGGTCATTTTCCTTCTAAAGTATATGATTATATATATATATATATGATAAGACTAATGAACTCTCGTGACAACATTGTCGGATGTGATTTGTATAGCATTTTGTGAGATGAGAAATACAGTTGATAAGATTTGAACTCAAAACTTATTCTACGTGCTTGGTACATTATGCTTCTCTTTTTTATTCCATCTATTTTAATTTGGGAGTCGAGAAAAAGGGGGCACTTGGAGGTTCTATGAGAGAGGTATTTGTTCCACGAGGAGTTGTCAAGTTTCCTAGAATTAGTAAATCTTAAGGGGCAAATAAAGTGAGAATAGAGGCTTGGGTACAGCAAGAAAGAACCATTACTTTGGGGCAACGACACATTCCCTGTATAAGCGAACTACCTCTAGTGAAGTGGGAAGATGATTGGCGCGCAAGCCTGGAACTACGGAATCTGCGGCGGACCCTTGTGTAATTATACGCTTTTGCCTTTCCACCCCTCACATCTTTGATTAATTAGGATGCATCCCCATTTTCCAAATTTTTACGATACACGCTCTCCCAATTTAAATAAATAAACTAGATGTCTAGGGCCCGCATGTAAATAGTATTCTCATTTGTGTCAGCCATGTTTTTTTTTTTCCAGTCATTGTTCAGTTTTTTGGAAAGAAAGAACAACAATTTTAGTAACTTACATGATGTTAAGTCTTGGAAAAGATTATCAGGCAAAAAAAGAAAAAAAAATTGAGAAATGTGGACTACCCTCTTATGCCTCTTCTCAGAAGAAGATTTTCTGAATCACCATTAGAAGTCAGGACTGCACAGCAGATCCCGAACCGTATTTCAGCAATATTTTCTTGGTTTTGCATTTGATGTATAGTAGTAAGCTCGCCCATTTTTTCTTCCCAGGAAATGCTATTTATTTTCCTTTTACTCTAGTAGCAGATCTTTAGGCATACTTCCTTGATGAAAAGGACAAAAACAAAATCCAAAGGTTTAACATGTGATAGGTTGCTTTGTAGATACTGCAAGAAGCTAGTCAATATTTTAGCTACACATGATTCCTCTTTACTTGATATTTCTTCATTTTCTTTGATCATGTAAACTAATTCGAGCATTTTGGTTAGTTTCTTGTCTTGGGACATCATTTTTATTACTGATATTCTTTTTAAATTTATTTTCTGGCACAGGAGCAGCGGGGTGAGATTTAAGAAGCGGAGGAAGAAGGAAGGGACATGTTTAAACTCTAAAAATTTCTGAAGAAAAATCAGGGTCTTTTCAAGGAAATGTAACCATCCGTGAGATAAATATTATCTAACTACAGGAAAAACTGTGAATAGGAAACATAGGTACAGCAGGATAAAATGATAAATCTCACCACAGGTCAATAACGCTATCAATTACTTACTTAACCACTGTCAATTGATGGGAGAGAAAATATTAATGAACAGCCAGGAGGAATAGGACACTACCTTAATGGCAACTAATTAATTTGATCAAAGATTAGATTATGTTTTTTTTTTTCAATGGACATCAAAACTGTCCCACATATGGTGCCATTTCAATCCAAAGTGTATGCAAATCCACTTATCTATCTGTCATCCCACAGAGATACGTAGTTTGTTTAGGGTTCCAACACTAATTTTTAGTATTGGCCTGCTCAACTTGTTGATAATAGAGGTCTAAAGTATTTTTATCTTATTCAATATTTCTAGGGTTATTATCACTTTACCCCCTTAAACTATATTACTACTGTCAGTTTACCCCCTAACGTTATCTTTTAGTCATTTCACCCCCATAAGTAATTCAATTCAACATGTTAAGAAATTTTGGACAAAAATACCCTTTTATTCTATAGCATTACTACATTGTTATTATTACTTTATTTCTTTAAATTATAGTGATATAATTGCTTTAATTCTTAACATTATTTCTAGGCATTTTACTTTATCGTTAATCTAACTAGTATGTTCAAAAATTTTTAAATATATTTACCCTTATATATATAATAAAAAACAAAAAAGTTGGAATGATTATTCTTCTTTTTTTTCACTTTAAGAGATCCAAAAATATAAAAATAAAAAGATTTTCTCAAATTTCTTTTTTCACACTTATTAATACTAGGAAAAGAAAAAGAGATAGGAAAGAAGGAGGCAGAAAATTAGATTTTGCAAAGAAAAAATAAAGAAAAGTCTAATAATATTGTATTAATTTAAGATTATTGGGATTAAAATTAAAATCTAGTAGTAAACAATAAAGTGAAATAATTTTAAAATAATAAAAGTATTTAATTCTTTCTTATTTGTATTTTTTAAAAAAAAGAATTGAGCTCTCTCTCTATCTCTCTCTCCCTCCCCCTCACCATTTTTCTTTTTTTTAATATTAATAAGATTGTCAAGAAGAAAAAAATTAATACTTTGACTTTTTTTCTTGATACTAATGACGAGAAGAGTCATTCTAAATTTTTTATTTTTTTTATTATACAAAGAGGAGAGTACTTTCTTCTAAAGTTTTTTTAACTTGCTAAATTAGTTTGATGGTGGGATAAATTATCTAAAAAATAATTTTATGGGTAAATTGATAATGAGACCATAGTTTATGGGGGTAAAGTGATAATAACTTTAAGGGCTAAACTTGTCTTTTCACTTTAATTAACAAACTCCGTTAAGTTTGACCGTTAGTGTTGGAGGTAAAGTGACTAAAAGATAACGTTAAGGGGGAAATTGATAGTGACATCGAACGTTAAGGGGGTAAAGTAATAATAACCCATATTTCTATCTACTTGCAGGTTCACCCTGGCATGGGTCGCAACTCCATGCATAATTGAGCCTAATGTAATCATAACTAATTACTTCTTTCAACATAGTAATTAAATACACGAAAGAAACTATCATCACCTACCAGTATGGTAGGTTACAATGGTTCAATCATTGTCTGAAATGTCTATTTGTAGTACTTTGCAACTATAGTATTGTGCGTATCACAATTTCGAGTTTATGTGTAGTATACCTTCTTGTTTCTTTGAATCATGTGCTTAGTACCATAGTTTACCCCAAATAACAACTGAATCTACTAAGATGGAAAAAGATTACAAAAATTCATCTCGTGAGGAATCAATTGTCCCAAGAACAAAGGGAGCCTCTCTAAATCTAAATCTAAATGATTGTGTTGGAGCTCCTAGTTAATTGAATTGTTGCTGATGCATGCAAAGTGCAGATTTATCATCTCCACAAGGAAATGGTGGTGAGTTAGTGGGTTGCCAGTGTGGTGAGGAGAGTGTTGATAATTGAGCAGCCGATCAGAATCATCAGAAATGGAAAGGTCAAGGTAAGGCGGGCAAGTTGTTGCCACGAGAAAGAGTGAAGGAATTATTAAGGATCTTGGTTGTGTGCTGCACGTAATATAGTAGTAGCAGCCCGGTAGGTCTTGGACAAGCAAGGCATCATCTCACGTCATGGGATCCTTTCCTTAATCCTCATCTCTACGATTAACCCAATTATTTTTTTTGGCCAATGCTTGAAAGTGATTGTGTCCACTTCCAGCTTGAGAGTAGTAGTGCGAGTGTACATATATGCAACCCGCCTTCTAGTCTTTAAAAATTTAGAACTTAAAATACTGTAGTATTCGCTTCACAGATCATCAATGACAGAGAGAGAGAGAAGAGAAATTCTTAGAGCAGACTCTTTTTTTTTTTTTTGGGCGGGGGGGTGCTTACATTATTATGATTGTTAATTTTTGTGTATCGGTTACATGATTAAGAGTAAGGTTAGAAAAGGTCTTCTAAGGTTTTTCTACTATCATGTTCAGGATTCGAATTCCGTACTTGACAGTTGCGGATAGAAAGGGTGTGAGAGAAGGGACGGGGGCAAAACCCAAAAAAAGAAAAGAAAAAACTTGAGAGCAAGTGGAGATGAGACTGACTTGTTAGCTGCGAGCTGCAACTAAGGCAAATGCAACCGAATCAAAGAATAATGGAAGCCACCCGGTTAAGATTATAGAATGTGCTTAGGGGAATCCATGGAGTTACGTTCACTCTTCAAGTCAACTACGATTACATTAATGCTTAAAGGAAGCACAATCAGTGAAATCTGTGAATAGATTGAAGTGGTATGAATTTTAAACAGGTGTACTATTTGTGAAGGGGGGAAAAACCAAAAAAAAAAAAAAAGCCTGTATTACGAAAGAAAATATAAGACAAACCAATTTAGATTCCAGAGTGGAGTTTCCACTGTGAACTACAATCAGCCTCGTTATTTACACGAAAACAAACCAGAATGAAGTTGTCCAAATCTGTGTCGGACAAAACTACTTGAATTTTTCATTTAAGGCCAAATAAGTTAAAGCCTCGTTATTTATATCATACCATTCATTACTTTGGCCAAATTACCATCAAGAACTCGAACAAAAGAGCATGACCGACCGCCCCTACAGGTGCAATTGGGTTTTTCTGTCATTCTAATATCCCATCTTACTATCTATGTGTGTGCATTTCCCACTAGTTACAACAGCGCCACTAACTTATTTTCGTTTTTTGTTTAACAACACCAAAAAAAAATCATGTTACACAACCTAATAAAACCTTTTAATAACAGCTCATATTTTTCCTTATAAATTTTTCTTCTAATCTGCACATACATGGGGTGTGGATTTCCCACTAGTTACAAC